CCCTCTTGAGATGGTTCGTCGAATTGGATGACGCCATAAGGGCGCGTCGCATCGACGACGGGGATATGCAAGTTGCATTTGCCCAGTCAAATCTGGCAGGACGTGCCAAGACTTGGGCACTGGGGCTCAAGCTGCACGACCCATACGCGTTTGGGTCGTTGGAAGTCTTCAAGTCGCGGCTCAGACAAACGTTTGAACCGCCTAGAGCTGAGTTCAGAGCTCGAACCGAACTCTTGAAGCTCAAGCAGGGTAAGCGTGATGTGCACGCTTACGCTCAACATATACGACATCTCACGAGTTGTATAAGTTCCAATCCGGTGGATGAACACACGTTGGTTTCGGTGTTCATGCAGGGTCTTGCGGATGGTCCCGTCAAGACTCACCTGTTCCGGCTTGAACTAGATTCACTAGAACAAGCCATTTCAATTGCGGAGCAGGAAGACTTCAGTCTGAGACAGGCTCGCGCCAGCTCGACATCATATCGTCAACCGAGACGATATGACAACGGAGGTCCAGAGCCGATGGAACTCTGTTATGTAGAGAGCGAGAAGGCTCGCTCTACAGGCTACAAGAAGTTGCAGAGATGCAACAGATGTCAAAAGACAGGACACTACGCTTACGAGTGTAGTGCCCTCGTCCAGTGTCTCGCGACACTGGGCGTAGTGACCGTCCACCCATGAGAAAGGGGCAGGGACGAGGGTCCGCAGTTGGTGCAAAGACGCAACAACGGGATGGACCGTCAAAAAACGGACAGGGATCAGTAGGTGCGGAGCACCCTACTGATCCAGCAACGTCAAGAGAATTTGTAGGCCTCTTGATGAAGGTTGCTCCCAACACACAGACATTGTGCGTTGCTGCTCTAGGTAATGAGATCTCACTCATTACCTTGAAACTCGAAGTGACGAATAAGTTGTCCCTTCGAGCTCTAGTCGATTGTGGGGCGTCCAACAATTTTGTGCGACGCCAATCGCTAGAAGATGGTCACTTTAAATTCAGTGAATGTGACACACCTCCTACGAGGATGACGGTACGTCTTGCGACAGGCGCATCCGTAACAAATATGAAGCGTATAGTGAAGATTCACTATACGCTAGAAGATACCCAATACGACGATGACTTTATCGTATTGGATTTGGATGACAAATTTGATGTCATCCTGGGAATACCGTGGCTCAGAAGGTACGAACCACGGGTAAACTGGCAACATCGGACAGTAACGATGCTTAGCCGCTTGTTCATCAGATGGCCATCTGATGAACGTTTTGGAGCGTCCACAAGCGTGTGGATGTACTACGAGTGAGTGCGATGGCCCTCACTTGTGGTACGGTCGTTAGTACGACTGCACAAAACCTTAGTGTACCAAACGGTTACACTTCGGGAGCAAAGTTCCGGCGGCTGTGAGGAAACACAGGCTGCGCCGAAGGTCCACCACTCGAATAAGTCGGGTGGACTGGGACAAAGATGTATCCCTAGAGGGGAACATCTAGAAGAGAAACAATCGATCGCTCAGGTTAAGCGAAACGATAATCCTAGATCGACTGGAGAGTCTTTCGTAGAGGATCTCGCTGTGGTTGCGCAACCCCAGCTAGAGGAAGTAAAGGGAATAAGTCCCAAGATTACAAATACGGCGGAAATAAGTTCCCCGAAACCCGCGGGAATAAGTCCCCGGGAAGACGAAGGAATAAGTCCTTCGAAGCCTGAGGGAATAAGTCCCCAGGAAATGACAGAGACATTGAATGTCATAGTCAATAACGGATCATGTGTAGGCGCTTATACACTTGATCTCGATTGCGCCTCCGAAGTTAACTTCGGAGATCACTCAGTTGCCAACGCTCGAACATAAAAGATTCTTGCGTGATCTGCGTAGTGGCAAAGTCAAGCAGATCTGCATACTCGTCGCTGAAGACGAGTATGTAACCGACATAAGGTCAGCAACAGTGTTTACTGAGAACGAGAGAGTTCTCAGTAGTTCATCTATGGACGAGAGTGTCCTAGATGAAAAGACACGAATTGAGCGATATGAGTCCCAATCATGGGAATCGCTCAAGGAAAATCCTCTCTATGAAGATTTGGTTGAATTCAAGGATGTATTCCCTGAAACTGTTCCGTGCGAATTACCGAAGGATAAAGGTATTCGACACGAAGTCGAGCTTAAACCAGGCTCGAAGTACTGTGTCAGCGAAGCAGTGGCCACTGCCTCGTGAACAGTACTTGCGATCGACAAGTTCTTTGCCGATCGTTTAGCAGCGGGCCATGTGAGGGAATCAACTTCCCCACATAGCTCTCCGACCTTCTGTGTGCGAAAAGCAACAGGAGGGTGGCGGATAGTGCACGCGTTTAACAAATTGAACGCTGCAACGGTACCGGCTCAGACGCCGATACCGAGGAAGGACGTAATCATTGATGGTATGTCAAAGAGTACCATCTTTTCGTCCATGGATTTGATGGATGGCTTCTATCAAATCCTAATGCGGGAACGGGATATACCCCTATACCGCAGTTAGCACGCCTAGCGGCATGCTCTGGGAATGGCTAGTAATGCCACAAGGGCTCAGTAATGCCCCTGCCACGTTCAACAGGTGTGTATCACATCTGTTGAGGCCAGTACGAGAATTCGCGCCGAGTTATTTCGATGACGTATTCATCCATAGTCGAGCTATGGATGGAAAGTCGGACGTTGAGGTTCACAAGTACCACGTCCGACAAGTTCTTACAATCATGCGAAAGCATCAATTGTATGCAAAACCTCAAGAAGTGTATATTTGCAGCAAGCGAAATACCACTTCTTGGGTGCATCGTTGGTAAGAACGGTGTACGTCCTGATCCCGAAAAGATCAAGGCGATCACCGACTGGCCCGTGCCGGTCGATGTCAAAGGTCTTCGAAAATTCCTTAGCTAGCGGCGTATTTGCATAAGTATTCACGCAATTACGCCGAGATGACTGTACACCTCTCTCGTTTGTTGAAAAAGAACGAGAGGTGGTTATGGAACGCTGAATGTCAACGCTCCTTTGAGGGTATCAAGCAGAGCTTGATACAATCCCCAGTCCTAGCAATAGCCGATCAGGACAGGCCATTTCATGTGGTCTGTGATGCCAGCGATTTCGCAATCGGCTGTGCATTAATGCAGTACGACCTTGAAGGCGTTGAACGCGTCGTCTGCTATCAGTCGCGTCAGCTGCAACCAGCTGAGCGGAACTATCCAGTGCATGACAAGGAACTCCTTGCCATGAAGTATGCACTCGCGAAGTTCAGAGTCTATCTATTAGGAGATATACCCTTCGTTGTTTACACTGACCATGCGTCCTTACGCACGGCAGTGAACAGCCCGCACCTTTCACAACGAATGGCGCGGTGGTTGTCATTCTTTGCAGAATACAACTTTACGGTCGAGTACAAACCAGGACGACTTAATGTCGTCGCTGATGCGCTCTCACGTCGTCCCGACTTTGAAACAGTCGCGAAACCCAACAGTGAGACAGTCACTGTTGCGGTTATGACGTCCTCAGTTCCATCTACAACGTTGTATGATGATGTGAGGCGGGCATACGCCCAAGATGGTGAGATAGTGAAGTTGTTGTCACATCTCTCCCAACCATCTCGAGAATCGTTGAAACGATTGTCGTCTGCGTATCGATCTGCATCAGATCGATACACTACTCGTAACGGGTTACTGTATTACACAGCCGTTTCTGGTGACACACCACGTGTTGTCATTCCAGATGATACTGATCTGCGTTTGCGGATCATGTTCGAGTATCACGATGCTCCTATAGGAGGACATCGTGGCCGAGAGAAAACATATCTCACGGTAAGTCGAGACTTTTACTGGCCCCGCCAGTATCAGTTTGTGCGAAAGTATGTTCGCGCATGCGAAGTCTGCCAACGAGTGAAGTCAAGTCCTTCACTGCGTGCACCTTTACAGCCTCTACCGGTTCCGGATGAGTGCTGGGAATCCATCTCAATGGATTTCGTCTTCGGGTTACCCAAAGACGCACGCGGGAATACGGGTATTCTCGTATTTGTTGACAGATTCAGCAAAATGGTACACCTTGCGGCTGTACCAGAGACAATCACGGCAAGTGGCTGTGCTTGTGTCTTTATCGACACCATCTTCCGACTTCATGGGTTGCCCCGTGAACTCGTATCAGACAGAGATCCACGATTCACTGCTGATTTCTGGCGTTCCGTGTTCAAATCACTCGGAACGCGCTTGAAGATGTCAACATCTGATCATCCAGAGTCAGATGGTCAGACGGAACGTGCCAATCGTGTCCTTGAAGAGATAATTCGAGGATACGTACACTCCTTTAAGAGTTGGAGTGAGTTTTTGCCGATGGTAGAGTTTGCCATCAACAACTCGGTGCATGCGTCCACGACACATACACCGTTTTACGTGAATGGCTTGCGCCATCCGCGTGTACCCACCTTACTAGAGTGTAACTCTGGTTTAAGGGGGAGGGACTCGCGCGAGCAAAAACCGATTTGGTTCACGCTCATCACGCTCTGACGAAGAAGTCATTGCGTTTGATGCCGATATCGATAACATCGATATCGAAGAAGATGATGCCAGTGAGAGTGCGGAAGCCCTCACTGAAGACAATGATCCCAGTGAGAGTGCGGAAGCCCTCACTGAAGAAAAGGTTGTTGTCGCTGCAGTGCGCTCACAGCACACTGAAGCTAACGAGTCATCAGATGAGTTCATACTGGCTCGTGAAACGGTAGTCCGTTTTGTGCAAGACTCCATCGCCGAAGCGGTGGATAAGCAAAAGCAAAACGCTGACAAGAATGGAAGGGCAAACACTCTTTTATTTAATAAAGGTGACTTAGTCCTACTGTCTACGGTTAATCTACCAAAACATGTAGTGACTAACTTGGGTAGCAGTAAACTACTACCCAAGTACATTGGCCCATTTCGTGTATTGCACCGCCTAGGCAATGCATACACGATCGAGTTACCACGTAAGATGCGAACGCATCCCACGTTTTACGTTGGTCGGCTTAAGCCGTACCATCAGTACGCTGCTTCTTCCGATGAAGAACGCCCTTGCGCTCAAGCATCTCGCAGAGAGCCTTGTGCTCCCGATGGTGGGCATCAACAAGGGTCTGAAGAGCAGCTATCTCATCCCGAGACCGATCAACAATCCCACGAGCTACCCTTAGCTCGTCACGAAGAGATGTCAGAGCTCTCTCGTTCTCAATCAGAGCAAAGGCAAACTCAGCTCGATGCTTCAAGGCAGTGTCCGCCATTTGGAGACGCCTATTCCGCTCATGTTCGAGATCGTCGCGTAACCCTTGCGTTACGCGATCAAAGAAGCTCTCGGGAACACACCGATCCACATGATCGTGTGGAGAGCGTCTTTCCTCCTCCTCCACCTCCATTAGAGGACTCTCGCGGTGGCCAGCGCTATCTAGTTGAGCAGATATTGAACCACCGCGACGTGAACGGACGTCGGACGAGTTATCTCGTCCGGTGGCGCGGCTATCCCCCGTCCTGGGATACTTGGGAGCCCCGCTCCCAACTGATGGTCGACGTACTGGGTCTGGTTGAGCAGTACGACGCGGCACATCCTGTGCCGCAGAAGGACCGCCGGAGAAAGTCTTCCCGGCACGGTCGTAAAGGGATTTCAGGTTGTCAATCCCTTCGTACATCTCAGTAGAGACACGTACGCGCAACCACGGGCTAGTAAGGAGGTAAGCCTCCTTAGGTGCTCGTGCAGAGTTGTTCACACAACATGGGCACGAGTCTCTTCAAGAGAGGCAGGGTAATCCTTTCTCCCTTGACAGACGATGCAGCTTGTAGCGTGCACCTGTCGGGGTTCGCTTTTCAAACTTATCACGAGCTTTGATAAGTTTGTCGTTCCAAGCGTCACGACCTACATCCTCGAGATTATGGATGTAGGCGTTCCACGCCTGAAGTAGTGAGGGACCATCACGTTTGTGATTCCCACTGTACCATCGATGTCTGAAGAAAGCATCGATGAAGAACTCATGTTCAGCGCGATAGTCTTTCGCGCTGGGGTCAAGGTGATGAATCCTTGACGAATCGAACAATCGTGTTCGATAACGATCACTCGTCGTCGCCGACAAGTGATCCATGACAGATTTAGGAGGCATCCATGCCTTCTTTTCTGGAGCGAGACGCAACACATTGCGGTCCCGCTCTTCCTGCGACGTGCCGACAGAAGTACTGGCACCTCGCTGTGAAGTGGTGTCCATTGGAGAACCGACACCACTATTAGCGCCCGAGTCTCGCGACCTCGAGCGCCTTCGCTTCGGCGATGGTTCATCTGACTCATCAGATGAACCAAAGATGCTGCGACGCAAAGCATCATCCATGCCACGCTTGGCAGGCGGCTTGGATTCAATTGCCGTCGATACGGATCCGTCATCCGTATCAGGAGAGTACGAGACACCGAGCTCGTACTCTGTGAAGACACGAGTGTCTTCATGACCAGCGCCTGCATCACCAGGTGATGCAGGCTGAGTCGATTCAGCAACCGATGGGACATCAGTTGCTGTAGTTTCTGCTTCGGCGTCCGCACAGAGACGTGCAGACGCGCTCTCGGCGGCCTTGCTCGCGCATCGCATGGGCTTGTTTACCATGCGATGAGATGTTGGAAAGTGGACGCGGACCAACAAGTGCAAACCCCGTCCCAAATGATTTGGGACGAGTATCCATTTAGTCAATCAGTCACTAAAGTGACTGATGGTTAAGGGGGGTGATGTAACGGGGTGAATCGTTACATAACAATTCATAAGAAATTGTTAATAGAATATAACTATAAGAGTTGTATTCTCAGAATATTGTCATAAGGACAAATATTCTGCTGCAATTACGAGTAGTTCCTAATTGGTTGATATAGGCCATTATATCAACCAACGAAGACGCGCCACGACAGACGCACGCAATGAGTGGTGGGCAGATAGTTGATGTACACATTTGTATTTAGACATAGTTAGATGAAGATAAAAGTGGTTTATTGCAGACATTAACTATTATAAATACAGTTCTACTTTTTACTTTGACCAAGTACTCGCTTCTTCTTACCGTCTTCCTCTGCACGTACGAGTGTACGTGAAGTTACGAGGCACCGCCTTATTCTGTTATCAGAATAAGTAGCTTGTACTGTCACCAGTACAAGCTTCAGGGTGCCCCGTTACACGATCTGTGGCGGAGCTACTCAGCGCTCCTTTACCGAGGAGGTCTTAGACCCAAAGAGTCTTTTAGTTGTAACATATTAACAACGACGTACAGCCGTTCAAGCGCACAAGCTTAACAATCCCGGTTCCATAGGGATTACGATTCACAGAATCACACACTAACTAGTCACTACTAGTTGAAACAAGAGTAAGCGACTTCACAAGGCTATCACTCTTACAACACACTATGCCTTGACTAGGCACTAGCGCCCAACGATTCAAAAGGGGAACTGGGCTTTACTTATTCTTTAACTACGGTAATAAAGCCATAAAACCTTGTCTGACTTCTGCATTGCGATCCTATGACAGAAGTCATGTCCCTTATCCTCACCCGATAAGGTGCGAGATTACCGTAAGTACGTGGCACCAAGACTGTACCACTCAGATCCGCTAATCTTCACTTGGTGTGGACACAGAACATAATCGGTTCAATAACCCGTGAAACCCCGTTACAAGCGTATGAGAGGTCGATGTGTGGTCGGTCACGCATGACGTGCTATACCTGAGTTCTATGTGTGGCAGCTTTGGCAACGTATGTGGCTTAGCTGATAGTGTTGGCAAGAAAAATAGAATTAATGCGAAAGACTAACGAGTCACCGAGACGATAAAAGTCGGGATCCGTTGTTTTGCTCACATGCAACTCAATGTATTCAGAGAGTAGCAAAGAGTAGCGGCGGGCGCCTTTTGTAACGGGGTGAATCGTTACATAACAATTTATAAGAAATTGTTAATAGAATATAACTATAAGAGTTATATTCTCAGAATATTGTCATAAGGACAATATTCTGTAGCACTTCCAAGTAGTTCCTAATTGGTTGATATAGGCCATTATATCAACCAACGAAGACGCGCCACGACAGACGCACGCAATGAGTGGTGAGCAGATAACTGATTTACACATTTGTATTTAGACATAGTTAGATGAAGATAAATAGTGATTTATTGCAGACATTAACTATTATAAATACAGTTCTACTTTTTACTCTAACCGAGTACTCGCTTCTTCTTACCGTCTTCCTCTGCACGTACGAGTGTACGTGAAGTTACGAGGCACCGCCTTATTCTGTTATCAGAATAAGTAGCTTGTACTGTCACCAGTACAAGCTTCAGGGTGCCCCGTTACACCTGGTAGCACTTCGTAGTCCGTCCAAGGACCGCGTTCACATCCAACATGAATATGTTGGATGATGAAGATGACCAAAGCTTTCACGCTACGCGTGACGGCTACTCCCATTTGAGCGATGTCGAATGGGATGCGGTTGAACGAATGGGTTCGACCATGGGCATCCATGCTGTTAGCGTCATGCTAGAGGCTCTCAATAGAGATGCCCAACATGCTACTATCGCCAAGTTCATTCAAAATGAACTTGACGCAGAACGCGAGAAAGTAGCCTTGCTTCACCAACAAGGTTCTCAACAAGCAGAGTTGTTGAGAGAACAAGGTGCTCAACAGTTTGAACTGTTGAGACAGCAGCAGGCTGCTGCTGGCGGGTCGATGCACTCGCGTCGGCCCGAGACTTTGAAGATTGACATCTCAAAGTATAGGGGGGTCGAAGAAGACTCCCTCTTGAGATGGTTCGTCGAATTGGATGACGCCATAAGGGCGCGTCGCATCGACGACGGGGATATGCAAGTTGCATTTGCCCAATCAAATCTGGCAGGACGTGCCAAGACTTGGGCACTGGGGCTCAAGCTGCACGACCCATATGCGTTTGGGTCGTTGGAAGTCTTCAAGTCGCGGCTCAGACAAACGTTTGAACCGCCTAGAGCTGAGTTCAGGGCTCGAACCGAACTCTTGAAGCTCAAGCAGGGTAAGCGTGATGTGCACGCTTACGCTCAACATATACGACATCTTACGAGTTGTATAAGTTCCAATCCAGTGGATGAACACACGTTGGTTTCGGTGTTCATGCAGGGTCTTGCGGATGGTCCCGTCAAGACTCACCTGTTCCGGCTTGAACTAGATTCACTAGAACAAGCCATTTCCATTGCGGAGCAGGAAGACTTCAGTCTGAGACAGGCTCGCGCCAGCTCGACATCATATCGTCAGCCGAGACGATATGACAACGGAGGTCCAGAGCCGATGGAACTCTGCTATGTAGAGAGCGAGAAGGCTCGCTCTACAGGCTACAAGAAGTTGCAGAGATGCAACAGATGTCAAAAGACAGGACACTACGCTTACGAGTGTAGTGCCCCTCGTCCAGTGTCTCGCGACACTGGGCGTAGTGACCGTCCACCCATGAGAAAGGGGCAGGGACGAGGGTCCGCAGTTGGTGCAAAGACGCAACAACGGGATGGACCGTCAAAAAACGGACAGGATCAGTAGGTGCGGAGCACCCTACTGATCCAGCAACGTCAAGAGAATTTGTAGGCCTCTTGATGAAGGTTGCTCCCAACACACAGACATTGTGCGTTGCTGCTCTAGGTAATGAGATCTCACTCATTACCTTGAAACTCGAAGTGACGAATAAGTTGTCCCTTCGAGCTCTAGTCGATTGTGGGGCGTCCAACAATTTTGTGCGACGCCAATCGCTAGAAGATGGTCACTTTAAATTCAGTGAATGTGACACACCTCCTACGAGGATGACGGTACGTCTTGCGACAGGCGCATCCGTAACCGTCATGAAGCGTATAGTGAAGATTCACTATACGCTAGAAGATACCCAATACGACGATGACTTTATCGTATTGGATTTGGATGACAAATTTGATGTCATCCTTGGAATACCGTGGCTCAGAAGGTACGAACCACGGGTAAACTGGCAACATCGGACAGTAACGATGCCTGCCGCTTGTTCATCAGATGGCCATCTGATGAACGTTTTGGAGAGTCCACAAGCGTGTGGATGTACTACGAGTGAGTGCGATGGCCTCACTTGTGGTACGGTCGTTAGTACGACTGCACAAAACCTTAGTGTACCAAACGGTTACACTTCGGAGCAAAGTTCCGGCGGCTGTGAGGACACACAGGCTGCGCCGAAGGTCCACCACTCGAATAAGTCGGGTGGACTGGGACAAAGATGTATCCCTAGAGGGGAACATCTAGAAGAGAAACAATCGATCGCTCAGGTTAAGCGAAACGATAATCCTAGATCGACTGGAGAGTCTTTCGTAGAGGATCTCGCTGTGGTTGCGCAACCCCAGCTAGAGGAAGTAAAGGGAATAAGTCCCAAGATTACAAATACGGCGGAAATAAGTTCCCGAAACCCGCGGGAATAAGTCCCCGGGAAGACGAAGGAATAAGTCCTTCGAAGCCTGAGGGAATAAGTCCCCAGGAAATGACAGAGACATTGAATGTCATAGTCAATAACGGATCATGTGTAGGCGCTTATACACTTGATCTGATTGCGCCTCCGAAGTTAACTTCGGAGATCACTCAGTTGCCAACGCTCGAACATAAAAAGATTCTTGCGTGATCTGCGTAGTGGCAAAGTCAAGCAGATCTGCAT